AAATGTAACATGGAGAAGAGACCCCAAACCACCCCAGCATCTGCTCCCCCATCCTCCACTCTGCTGGGAAAGGTCTTCCATTCTGCAACATCAGCACCTTTGCTTCTGCTCTGTTCTCCACGGAGGTGAAGCAGTGGGAGAAGCAGCCATCAGGGCTGTGGTGTGGGGTGGGGTGGAGATGGAGTGAGGTGGCTCCCATCTCCGTGAAGTGGGTGCAGGGCTGGGGCTGCCTTGCTCAGCAGCTGTCGGGCAGGAGGACAGGGGCAGCTGATGAGGCTCACTGGAGTTGACCAATAGTGCCGCTCGCTTGTGAAGTTTTGGATGAAGCTTCAGGCTTAAGGGCCAGGCAGTGGTTTTCCTTATCTGAGGTTTTGTGTTCCACACTTGGTTATTTATAGTAGGAAATCAATCTCCCATATTTTAAGTTGCAAACAGCTCTAAGAAGCACGATGAAATCTTGCCCTGCTCTATCCAGCCTGAACATGAAGCATCTCTTTGTCCAGAGTGCCCGTATCACACATGTGCCCCTCTTTAGTCACCGAGAGACATCCCCGTCCGGAGTGCCCATACTTCACATGCGCCCCCTCTTTAGTCACCAAAAAGTCACCTGGGTTATCTACCGACCTCAGCAGCATCAAAGCGTTGTGTTTAAGCACCCCTTAATTTATCTGATTATGGCCCCAAAGTGCAAATTATATCCCAGAAACAGGGTGCTGGCAAATCTGATAAGCCAAAGAAAAGCTGTAAAGTACGTAAGTGGGAAGATGAAAGCTCTTGACTGGATGAGGAAATATATAATTGTCCGCAGAGGTTGCTAAGATGTACGTTAAGAACAAACCTTCAGCCATTAGAAGTGTGAAGGAGGGAAAGGAAGTGCTAGGCTCACTGTCACACCTGCAAACTGCACACACTAAGACCACAACACATGTCATTTGCCCGGTGAGAAAAGACACTGCATTTGTGTGTCCACGGGGCTTAGACCTGTGGTTTCAGGTCTTCATGGGGGTCTTGGAAAGAGTTCCCTCTACTCAGTGGAACTAGTGTAGTTGGAAGGAGAAATTAATGGCTTCAAGCTATGCTGAGTGAGCCTTGTAACCATCTTCTCTGTCCACACCGCTCCCCATTAGTGAGTACCTGCTGTATGCAGAACGCCAAGAGCTGAGGATTCAGAAGACAAAAACCTAGACCAGTACTCCAGGCTCTAGTCATAGCTCTCACAGTCTTTTCGGTGGGATTTGAACTGAGAAAAGCCTTCAAGTCACACACATGTAGATGTGTGAGGCTAGGCTGGGCCCTTTTACCTAACCAGACATAACGAGTCTAGTCTGTTCCCCTATGCGGTGCTCATTACAGTCATTCAAGCTGGTGTACAGTGGGTTATGTTGTATATTTAGAAAAATATTACTCTGAAAAACATCAGCCTGGGGGATGGCAACCAAGACACATAATTATTAAACAATTTATAAATACAGCCGCAGAGTATGCACAAAAGATACAGAGCCCCAAGGGAGCCACACAAGGCCAGGACCATCCTTTTTTGCATTCTTTCTGCCACATGCAATGAGCCTCATGCCATATTCCTGCAGTGTGACTGTGGCCCTGTCTCTCCAAGCATATCTTGTCTTATCTCCAATCTTTCACCTTCCATTTCCTACATCACGGGTAGACTGCCCCTTGTCACCCAAAGTCAACCAGGAAATGATGCTGAATGCAGAAAAAGGCTCACCAAGGACAGACCAGCATCTCCCTTCCAGTTCAAGTTAAATTTTGAGAATGTTCCCACTTGTACAACAGTAGCCATGCAACAAAGAAAGGATTCCCCATGGATGACTTCATTTCATCAAGTTCTGCCTCCTTGTTTCTTTCTGGCTCAGTACTACAAGTCTTGAGTGAGAAAGAACACATTTCAGGGGCACAGAACAGGACAGTGAGTGACCAGAGAGAGGGGCAGTAACTGCCTCTGAGGGTTCAGGATGAAGATGTAACCTGTAGGGAGACATATCTGCAATGCTTAGGTTCATTCTTCCCATGACCCCTGGGTCCAAGTCCCAGAAAAGCAGTGGGAGGAATGGCAGGTGCCCCTGAACCCTGTGTGACCTCACTCACACCAGTGACCCCATGATCAATCCAGGCAGAGATCTTCTTTATGGGCTGCTGTAGACAGAGGCTGCTTGTTTTTTCCCTGGCTGCTCAGTCCCAAAATAATCACACAGAAACTGTATTAATTAAAACACTGTTTGGCCAGTCACTTAGATGTATTGCTAGCAAGATCTTTTATCTTAAGTTAATCCATCTCTATTAATCTGTGCATGACCACAAGGTTGTGACCTACTAGCAAGGCTCCTGCAGGTTCCTGTGGGAGTCTTTCTCCTCTGTCAGCTACATGGCATCTCCCTGACTCTGCCTACTTTCTCCCAGCATTCAGTTTAGTTTTCCCCATCTAGCTCTATTGTGCCCTATCATAGGCCCAAGTAGCTTCATTATTCATTAACCAATAAAGGTAACACAAATACAGAAGGAATTCCCACATCAGGCTGGACTGATTCAGGGAATAGAAGGCAGCTGAGTAATACCAAAGAGAACCAGAATTAATAACACAGAATATTTACCTTCCGAGAACACGCCTAGAAGCACTATGGGGCTGGGGATGCTGTGTGTCCTCTAGGCCCCCCATTATGGGCAAGTGCTCTAGACTAGAGGACCCTGGAGTTGCCATTTGCTGTGTACTCTGTGGAAATCACGTCAGGATAGGCGAGAATGAGATGAAATCCCAGGCTGTGGGAAATTTGCATTCACTGCTTAGCCATGTAGGGCTTCAGTTTCCTCACTGGGCAAAAGAGGTATAAGAGGTAGTGGTACCTTTAATTCCAGCACTCAGCAGGCAGAGGCAGGTGGATCTCTGTGAGCTCCAAGGCCAGCCTAGTCTACAGAGTGAGTTCCAGGACAGGCTTCAAAGCTGCACAGGGAAACCCTGCCTCAAAAACCAAAAACCAAAAACCAAAAAAAAAAAAAAACCAAAAAGAAAAAAAAAGGATAAGAATAGAGAATAGGACCTGCTAAGGTTGTCATAAGGATGGACTGGTTCACATGGATTGTCCTTATGATTGTGTGTGGGGTGGGGGGGGGGGGGGCTGGACACTGTCCACACCACCTGTGGTGTGGTCTATCTGTATTCCACCTCCTCCCCTCTCAACAGGCACTGGGGTAGAGTGGAAGTCCTTCTGTCTAGTTTTGCCTCCTTCTCAACATGGCTTTTTAAGAAGCTATAGCAGCTGGGAGAATTAAATTCTCCTCCTTAATCTACTCCCAGGAGCCTTCCCTCCGAGGTCAGCTGGCTGGCTGCTGAAGCCTTTCTTCAGGAGCTCCAACAATGGGGCTAAATACCTCATTTCTCATGCTGCCCTTTCAGGGTCCCAAGCTCCCTAGGCAAGGCCACATAAGATGGTAGAATGGCTTAACACAGGACAAGAGGGAGAAAACACTGTACAGAATTTACAGGGGTAACTTCCAAGTGTGACAACTCTTGATTCATGGGACAGTGACAGAAAACATACTCGGGGAATCAGTTCACAACAAACATCCGGACACAGCCCATGCTCACCACTGGAGGTCCAGGCTTGTAGAGGAAGGACTTATGTGCAGAGGGCTGGAAATGTCTTTCCCAGAAGTTACTGCTGTTTTTAACTTTCTCTTCTCCTTCCTTCCTTCCTTCCTTCCTTCCTTCCTTCCTTCCTTCCTTCCTTCCTTCCTTCCTTCCTTCCTTCCCTCATTTCCTCCTTCCCTCCCTCCCTCCCTTCCTTCCTTCCCTCATTTCCTCCTTCTCTTCTCTTCCCCTTCCGTCCTTCCTTCCTTCCTTCCTTCCTTCCTTCCTTCCTTCCTTCCTTCCTTCCTTCCTTCTTTCTTTCTTTCCGTTTTATTTTATTTTATTTTATTTTTTTAAAGAAAATCGCCACCAGGAAGAGCTCCTCAGGACAGAGGAGCAGAGAGAGATTCAACAGCTCTGGGCTTAGAGTCAGCACAGGAGCTCCGGACACATTACAGAAGTTCAGCTGCACTGCTTTATTAAGAAAGAAAGAAAAAAAAAGTGGGCAGCCAGGCCTTGCGTCAGAAGCTGCTGGTAAGGGAAGA